CCAACCAAAAACTACTGCGTAGAATTAATTGGAATTTTTCACACACAAGCCTTGCTATATGAGCTCTCAAAGCATATAAAAATTATACGGCTTAAATGTGAAGTTGGGTGTAAAAGAATACAATTAAATCCTCTGTCGGGAAAAAACGAAATGACTTTCCGAACAACCCGATAGTTTTCATCATTATTCAACACCACCATTAGATTTATTTATAAAAATATCTGGACCGGCGTAGGTAATTAAATATCTAATAAAATTGACTAACCACACTTGCAGGAGGTCATAGGGCACTATAAAACAGCAACATTTAGTAAATGTTTAGTGTTTTATTCGAGAAAGACGTATTTTAAAGTACAATCAAGGGCCAGTCCGGTCCTGGCAGTTTCAGCAGGGAATTACGATATCGCAACCGCGCATTGTATCAGCTGCAGCATCCGTGTAGTGCGAGTGTTTCTTTTGTATTTTGTATTCTTAATGCCATGTCGAGGTGCACTTTAAATAGTTCTGCATGCTATGAGCGATGAACAAAGTAATTATTTAACTAATTATTGTCGCAATGGGCGTCCAAAGATTATTATCTGTAATAGCGTAGTAGTAAGTTGTTGATATTTACTTCATTAGTCTTTCCATAACCGTCACTGTTTACATTGTTCATCGATGCAGTTCCTTAGTTATTATCGCAACTTCTTGATACGTTGCCAAATCACACCCAGGGCCGGCTTTCAATTACAAAATCGTCTGGTTTTCTTAAACAATTTTTTGTGCTTTAACTACGCTGCTTTACTCACCATGCGATTACCTATCACAGCAAGAAAACATCCCCTAAAGCTTGCCACATAGTTTAAAAACACCCTGTATTTGTAATATAAGAAAATAGTTTAAAAAATGGTCCTCAATAGCATCGTATGGTTTATTCACATAGATATTATTTTCAATTTAACTTCTTTACAATGAGAATATTATATACTTCTGAAAACGTTTGCAAAACAAAAATACACAAGGGAAAATCATTCAATAAATTGCAATACTGACATTATACATATAGGTGTATCTTAAACAGCACAAATTAAATACAAACTTACATTAATAAATATAATACTATTTCCTATTTTGACGCAACTAGCTGTCGAGGTTGAAGCTACTAGACAATTTTCATTACATACGGGGTTGTGCAAAATAAAAATGAATAGTCCTACTCTACGGGGGAGGGAGGGAGGTGGTGCAAGACTTAAATGGAGATCACAATACTACAGATAGCAGCCATCACGTTCTATCTCACTCATGCTCACAATATCATTCGTTCAAACAAATTACTCTGTCATTCTCTAAGTAGGCAGCAAAAGGTAACATATGATACAAGTGATGTTATTTGTTTCTAACTTTTTCTGTTTTTTTTTTTCTTTTGATATACATACATATAGAAGAAGGGAGGAACTAATTTACAAATCTCGCGACTTGAATTTGTTTACTGCGTTGGACAGATGAAGAATTTCGGTGCTGAGTTGTTGAATGAGAGATTGCAATTTGTCGACGGTGTCTAACACTTCCACCCTACCAGTATGGGGGTTGAATCTGACTTCGAACGGTCTGGACATGCTTTGGACCCAGCGTCTGAATTTATCTTTGGCATCTTCGAAACTTTCGGCTACGAAATAAATCGGTTGGTATTCTTGGTCTTGATAAGGTTGGACAGCGGTGGTCGCTGGTTCGAATGGTCTCAGTTCGGGCTTGTCGCTCATGGCATGGAGAAGTTCTCCATAAGCACTCAGGAGTCCAGCCCCGTATGCCTTCACAGCTCCGTTTTCTTTGCAAAGCCCAAATTCGACGGTGAACCAATAGACCTGGAGCAAAATATTCGAAATTTGTCGTTTTAGCGTTTAAGTGAACTGAAGCGGTAGAAAATGTGAAATCAAGCATAAGCCTTCAAAACTCATCTTCAAGGGTGATTTTGGTTTTAATCATACTTCTTTATACACTCAAAATACGTATTTAGCTTTGTCTTAAAGAAGTAATAATGTCCCGAGATAAAAATGCTCAGTCTTTCGGGGTCTCTAAAAGCGAAACTCGAGTCTCCGTCTCTCGTCGAGTCTCTCTGGTGTCGAGAGACTGTCAAAAAAGAACTGTTTAGCGTCTCTGAACGAGAGACTAGAGTCGCTCATAGAGAGATCCTCATTTCGTATCCAGTCTCTAAACGAGAAACTAGAGTCGCTCATAGAGAGATCCTCATTTCGTATCCAGTCTCTAAACGAGAGACTAGAATCTCTCAATAAGTGGTGTCTCGATAGACATGGTTAAAATTTTCTTCAAAGTTCAACATATTTCAGAGATCCCAGTCTTTCTACGAGAGACTCGAGTCTCTCCATTTTTCAGTTTTATTCATTCAGTCTCTCTGTGAACAATTTTATTGTTCGAATCTCTCATACAAAGACTGTGAGAGATCCATAAAAACACCTAGGCAATAACTGAAAGACTGTGAAAAACTGTGAGAGACGCTCTCAGAGACGCTGAAAGACTCTGAGAGACTGGAGAGAGACTAAAATTGTTTAGAATGGTTTAGAAGAAATAGAGGAAAGCGGGAGGCTATTTTAGCTTTACGGGTAATAATAGAGAAAACGATAGAAAAAGGAAAGAGTGCATACATAGGATGTGTAGTTTTGAAAATTTTTTTGACAATGTTAAATGGGACAAGATATTAAATATACTTAAAAATGTAGGGATGAATTACAGAGATAGAAGAGTGACGCTTAGTTTGTATAAAGAGCAACAGGCAGTTATAGAGCTAGGGATGCAACGTAGGGAAGTAAATATTAGGAAGGGAGTCAGACAGGGATGCACACTGTCGCCGCTACTTTTTAATCTATACATCGAAGACGCGATCAACATCATTAAAGACAGGGATAGATAGGCACTAGCAAAATATTTGTATGCTTAGATTTGCAAATGATATAGCAGAATTAGCATCTAGCAAGGAGGAGTTAATGATGATGATGTTGGAATCTTCTTCTTAGCTTACAGTAACGTAATAAGTATATAATATGTAGGCAAACTATTACCTAGTTGAAGTTAAGTGTAATTTACATAATTTGCATAACAGAGGGATTAGGTAATACATTAAAGTATGTAATTAAAGGTTAAATACAGAGTAAACAGAAGCTAGCCAATTAATCGATAAATCGATATGTCGGTGAATAATAATAAGACAGACAGTAACGGCAAAGCACACTACAGCCACGGTCGAATTTCTAATTGTGCAGATCAGAGGGTGCGTTATTAGGCCATGGTCAAGTTCTGTAATGCATGACTGCAAACTGGGTAGTAAAACTAATAAAATGCATGTTTTCGCTGCACAAACGCTAAACAATTGCGAAACTGACTGGCTGAAGGCAGCTTACTATAATATCGGAAAGAAAAAAATAAACGATTTATAAGTTTTTTTAATGGAAAGTTTAACGTACCGTCTCCTTAATGAGTGCCTACCAATTTATAATTACAATTTGAAAATGAAGTTACAATGTCAGTTAGATATAAAAAGTTTAAAAAAAATTGGAAAACAGCAGCTTTTCGTTCTGTTGAATCTTTAAAAAGTCATAATGATAGTATTTGCCCTTAACTCTCCTTCAAGGACCTGAAGGGGTGGCGATTGGGTAGAGGAAGATGAAACGTAAGAAATTAAGATAGCAGAGAAGTGAAAAGTGACCTGTAGGATATTATAACTGCCCCAGAATTTTGCTAAGTGATTCATAGAAACCACAGAAAAACTTTAACTAGGGATAGATAGAGACCCGGAACCGAACCGGAGTCCTCTCGGGTGCTAAGCAGTGATCTAAACCACTAGGCCACGCCGCTCACTCTCTAACAAACGTCCCAAGCATCATAAACTTACATATTTTTGAACGAAACGCTAAAGAAAAAGAATTTGCTAGGCTTAATCTACAAGGGTAATGTTCTCTTCGAACGTGTAATTTAATATCATTATAGGTAAAAGAAGCATTTAACATTAACTTTAAAGAGGATTATCTTAGGTAAGTAATCGTCTTCCTGTTCATAATTTGAAAAAGATCTAGTGATACAGAATTGGTTGAACTTACCGTTGAGAGCTTTTCAATTTCTGCGTCAGACGCTCCCAGGGATGCTAAGCCAATTTCCTGAGAGAATTGAGCAAAGCTGGGATCGGCGAGCAACGGCATATGTCCAAGAAGTTCATGGATACAATCCCTAAAATAAAAAGAAAATCATCTTAAGATTATTTCTACTTTAGATAATCCTTACATCGATAATTATAAGGGGAAAAAGTATGAGAAAGGTTCTCTGAAAACGACCGTCTTATTTTGTTCCGATCTGAGATCAGGAATATAATTTTAGTTCCACATAAACTGGGTCCCACTAAGAAATCAATGTGATTAATACAAAATTAACGGAAAGGGATGAGTACCTACTCTATTCTAAAATAGAGGGTGCTCCAATAAGTGTCTAGTAGTGATAAAGAACCTTTAATAAAGAGAAGTATATGCTTTTTAGTACCTACAGGTTATTCAAGGTTTAAATAGTTTTCGAGGATTTGAAATACTTAAAAAGTAATTTCTATATTTCTGCTTATTGAAACTGTTATTTAGTAAACCGCGATTTAATTTTATATACATATGATTACGTATATTGTGTACACCACGTCGTATGGAAACGTTAACGATTAAAACTGTAGGCAGGTCATTATCGTTGATGGAGTACCTTTGACATATACATAAGTGGCTATTAAGCTTTTCGATCATCTACTCCGAGAGACATCAAAGTGCTCCATGAACTAATTCGATTAAAACTCCTATTATACGCCGCGTCGTCATTAAATTTCGAACGGACCAGTTGTTAATGAACTTGCCATGTCGTCTGACACCGTTTTACTTTAGAAATTTCGCGAAAATACGATTACAAGTTTAAATAATTTGAAATATTTCGAAACGGCAACGGCACTTCAAAAATCGGACGACATTGATGAAATCTTTAATTAATTACATAAATGTGTGAGCAAATTTGGACACCAATAAGGTTTTCCGAACACTTTCGGAACAGAGGTACCATTGACATTAAAAAAAGTTTTTTAAATGTTAACACTATTATTCTCAATTGGGAGGACTTTGATAAGACTTAATCGCGAACTTACTGGATTTATAGAAGATACATTTTGTAGACCGAGTCTCAGTTTTTTACACTACATAGTTTTAGCCTTCATTAGAGATTCCGTTATTCACAGTCTTCAACGTCTTATACGCTCGCTTTTAGCTGGCATAAGAATATACTAAAAGTGTCCGCTGCAATTCCTACCTGAGATCTCTTTTCTATGTTTACGATATTCCCTACAACGTCTATAGTGAGTAAAAGTAGGCGTTCTGTCAGCAACAGCTCTAGTTTAATTAGTAAATTGAAAGAAGAAAGAAAAGCGTAGAAAGAATACCACAGCTCAGTTTAGTGTTTTAAACAGTACAGTTTCAGCTTTTATCGGAGATTTCGTCATTCACACTTAATCGCGTATCATGGTCCCTGCCTTCGACTCATTATTACTCAAAATCGACTTATTTTTCACTCGCATATGGCTCTCTTAATACTCGCCAAAAAATATTCTGCGTCTTAAATATTGAACAAATTTAACTAGTAATAACATAGGTACATTATCATTTGCAATTAGATGGCGTCCCCAAAAATTAATGGCGAATTTACTGATTGTGAATCAAGTAGTACCTAATTGCGTCATGTACACTGAGTTTAGCATTTTAAACGGCTTTAATCGCAGATTCCGCTTATTATTCTCAAATTCGACTCATTTCTCACTCGCTTATATCTCACTTAATATTCACCGTGAAAAAATACTGCATATCTTAGAACAGATAGTGTAACTCAGTGCATTAATACTCTTACATTAGAATCGTTAATAGTTTTCCATATTGAACGGGTGTTACCAGTATAGGTACTGCAATAATAATAACGAATTTAAGTCTGAAGTTGTACGCCCACAATTTTGCAGAAATCAGAAACAAGAAAAACCTTTAAAAGAGAAATAATTCATCAAAGCGAACTTACGGTTCGGGGGTGTGGAAGGGTGAGTTGACATGTCGGACGTATTGAGTGCTCTGGAAAATACGGAAAGCGAGGGAGGCCAAAAAGTCCCTAGCCGTTAACAGGCCAGCTGCTGGGCGAAGAGTAAATCCGGTTTGACGCTGAAGAAACTGAGACATTTCTTCGAGTTGCGGGATGCGATCAGGAACGAATATGTCCTCCTCCTGAAGGAGTTTGAATACGCGACGATACTCGATGCAGGCGTGCTTCGGCATCAGTTCAAGGACAGTGTTGAACACCGACTTCCAAGTTTTGTTTTCGGTCTCGGTGTAATTAACATGGGGAATTGGATCACCACTGAAATAAAAATTTTAATTTATAGTCGATTTATTTTCTAAGCTTTTAGATAAAATTAAAAAAAAAGAAGAGCGGATCATCATACATTTTTAGTATAGATATGGGACGAATAACCGTTTAACATCATTAAAGACAGTACAACTGTAGGGATAGAAATAGAAGGGCAAAGGGTTAGCACGCTTAGATTTTCAGATGATATAGTACTATCAGCATCTAGCAAGGAGGAGTTACAAGCAGCTTCAAATAAAATGGAAGCGCTATCGACAAAACAGTACTGTATGAAAATAAATAAAAGTAAAACAAAAATACTGGTATGCTCGGGAAGAAAAAGTAGGGAAAGAGCGAATATAAAAGATAGGAGACAAAAGATTAGAAGAAGTGCCTGATTTTAGGTATCTAGGAAGTCAGATTAGTCAGGATGGAAGGAGTAGTAGGGATATAAAGCAGAGGATAGCACAGAGTCCGGTGGACTTCAATAAAAAACAGTCACTTCTATGCTCGCGAACGATTAATTTAGAAATTCGAAAAAGTTTATTGAAGATGTATGTATATATGAGCGTGATGCCATATAGGTGCGAAACATGAACGGTGGGCGCGACATAAAAGAAAAGGTTAGAAACGTTTGATGTGGTGTTAAAGGCGAATGATGAGGATACCGTGGATGGAGAAGGTTAGAAATGAAGAGGTATTAAAAAGAATTAGAGAACAGAGGACTCTATGGAAGTCAATAAGAAATAGGCAAAATAGGTTGGTAGGACGTCTTCTCAAGCATGAAGGTCTAGTCAGAGGCAGAAACAGGAATTAAAAGGAGTAGAGGTAGACCTAGATTAGATTACCGTTCGCAAATAGTTAAGGATGTGGGTCGTTCTAATTTTGGGGAAACGGGAAGATTAGCTCAGGATAGAGAAAAGTGAAGGTGCGTGTCCAACCAGTCATAGAACCGACGACCGTATGATGATGATAACGAAATCGTATCAACTATTAAGAATTCGGAAGTAGCAAGTTTAAGTCAAATTGACATCGAGGTTTAAATTCTAATGAGATCTGATAGAAAATCGTGCACGTAAATAACTGGAATTTTCATTGAAATGAATGAGAAAAGTTTTGTGTTAATTCGAAATGATAAAGGTGCGGGTATGACTGATTGTCAAGTACTCGAGCTAGAACACATTTAGTGACCCACATTCGCTCCGTTTAAAACTATTATGTATTAAAAATTTCCTCATTCAAGTTGTCTGTCACTAAATCCATATAGTAAATTATTTGATTTTTATGGTCCATCAGTTATAATCAATAACAATAAAATACATCGGTGTAGGGCACTGTGAGAAGGTCATACACGTAAATGTTCATGGTGAGAATGAAACGGAAGGTCAACTATGTCTGGTGTCTGTCAAGCATGCGAACTTCTACAAGTTCACTACTATTCGATTTCATAAATTTTCTATACATACGTATACTATTTCCGGTAGGCACATTTACTGCATAGAATAAGGACGGAACATGCTAGTGGCAAGCCCATTTTTTAATAATTTTATTCGACATACGTAGGTCACTTTTGTACTTCATAAATCAATTTAATATCACAATTAAGTTTGAATGAATTATTGTGGAGCAAGAAGAATAAGAAGAATAAAAACTGTTAATATTTGTCCGTATTCGTTTTCGGCAATTCCAGGTTTATATATCGAAATTCTATTGGTTTTGTCACTTCTATGCTCGCGAGCGGTTTCGAAAAAGATGTACGGGTGCGAAAAATGGACGACGAACATGGCGGGAAAGAAAAGGTTAAAATTTTCCGAAATGTGCTGTTACAGGCGAATGATGAGGATACCGTAGATAGAGAAGGTTAGAAATGCAGAGGTAATAGAAAGAGTAGGAGAACAGAAGGAACCATGGAAGTTAAGAGATAGGTTCCCTAGACAAAATTTTTCAGTCTCTCTCCAGTCTCTCAGTCTTTAAGCATCTCTGAGAGCGTTATTGCCTAAATGTTTTTATGGATCTCTCACAGTCTCTGTATGAGAAACTCGAACGATAAAATTGTTAATTCAGAGATTCGAGTCTCTCACAGAGAGACTGAATGAATAAAACCGAAAAATTGAGAGACTCGAGTCTCTCGTAGAAAGACTGGGATCTCTGAAATATGTTGAACTTTTTAACCATGTCTATCTAGACACCACTTATTGAGAGATTCGAGTCTCTCGTTCAGAGACTGGATACGAAATGAAGATCTCTCCATGAGCGATTCGAGTCTCTCATTCAGAGACGCTAAACAGTTTTTTAGCAGTCTCTCGACAGTCTTTCTCAGAGACACCAGAGAGGCTCGATGGGAGACGGAGACTCGAGTCTTGCTTTCAGAGACTCTGAGAGACTGAACATTTTTATCTCGGGTTAGTAGGACACCTTCTCAGGCATGAAGGGATAGCTAAAAGACCTATTAGACCTAGATTACAGATTACTGTTTAGAAATACTGAAGGATGTGAGATGTCCCAGTTTTAAAGAAACGTGAAGATTAGCTCAGGCTAGGAAAAGGTGGAGGTGCGTGTCCAACCAGTCTTAGGTCTAACGATCCTATAATGACGAAAATGGATTGTTATACTTACTATTTGTATTTGAAAGCAATTTCTGCAATTTCTTTTCGACGAGCTCTGTATTCTTTATCGGCAAATCCTGGATGATTCATGTCCAAATCGGGTTCATACTTGGTCATTAAATGGTTGCAATTGTCCAGGTCACTGGCATGTCTGGGGAACCACGGGTTCTTCACAGAAATATTGTCCTCGCCCAAAAGAGAAACGCTTCCCAAAGAAGACGACTGTCTGAAATTTTTGATGAGCTGCAGCAAATTCTGACGAGTCATGGTAATACTGACAAAAACGTCCAGTTCGTTTTTGTCATTTTTATTGGGTCGCGTCTCAAGGTGACCGACCGAGCCTTGGAACTTCTCAATGGTCTTAAGTACACGGGATAAAGAATTCATGCCCTCCCGCAGACGAAGGACTAAAGCGGCTTGCTGAATGGCATCCGGATTTTCGCTCACTGCATTACCCAAAACCACTTCTTCCTCAGTAAGTCCGCTATCTGGAAAAAGAAAACGATATTGTTCTCTCGGATCAAATCTCGAAATAAAATCTCGGTAATAAATTTAAGTGTCATATTTTAGCTGCTCTTTTATTCGCCAACCTCCACACTACGCGACGCTTCCAACCAAATGGACTTGAAATTGACTTTTAACGTTCAGACCGGAAATTCCGATTCCACAGGGCTCTTTGTTAAATGACCTGCTTTTACATCAATCGAATTATCAACTGAAAAGTGCACGTAATCGTAGAAAATTTTGACAACTTTGCTACCATAATTGAGTCAGAAATTTGATGCTCTTCGTCAAATACTAATTTCATTTGACGAAAAGTTAGTTTCTCCTTTTGAAACGGCAATTAATACATAATGTCACAAGAAAGTCGTAATTTGGTAAGAGTTTAATTTAAAATTAAAAAATTGTAATTTAAAATGAGAATTGGTAAAATAATGTAATTACTTTTTGTTTTATAGCACATTTTTTTCAATTATTTATTCGTTTGAAATGTATTCCAATCTGGAATTTTGTATTAGTGAATTTAAATTGAGCTAACGCTACATAAATATCTCAGTTTCTACCTTTGTTTCCAATATAAATTTAAAAATCACTAACTTAATAAATAAACCAGTAAATAGTACACCTTACATCAACATTGTTGATAACTGATGATTCACGTATCAATTGTTGCACTCACCTTCGTTTTTGTCGTCATGTTTTGAATCCTTTTGTGCATCAAATTCAGGTTCAGGTTCAAGGCTCGAATCTACAACATTAATCATGCAAACACTTAATAATGCGCATGCAATAGATACTCAACAAAACTGTAATAACATGCATTGAACATTTTAATTATAACTATTACATGTATGTACTATTATCACTTCGATTGACCTTCGTTTAGAACGGCAACAAACTAATAATCCACTTTCTCCAATTAATCATATCGATTGATTAGTTTTTATATAATAAATTATGATATAAACTAATTAAGGTTGTTTAATTATTTAAAAAGTTGAAAATTGACAACGAATAGCTGATATGAAAATACTTGAGATTTTTCTCGAATTAATTTCAACTATAGATATATAACGCTGGCAATATAATTATTTCGATATTTCAAATAACCATAAAGTAATCAAAAATAAAAAGCGAAATCAAACGCTTATGAAGTAATAACAGGAAATTTATGGTAGGCATGTACATAATAATAAAATATGATATATGGGTTTCTTATACACGTAGGTCATATATATGTATTAAAAGTAAGGGTAACATTAGATAGAGGCAATTTAGAATGACATGAACCTTGGCCTTGAATTGCACAATGCCAGAACTCCACCCATTCAATGGTTTCTACGTTTTTATCTCTTAAAAACATTTGCTATCGCTTTTTATAGTTACTTGGAGCTTTATCCCTACTTGTAGAGCAAAGTGCATGTATATGAACACGAAGGTTCATGTTATTTTAAACTACCTGTGGACTTCACATTGAGATTGATTAATAAATTGATTAAATAGCTTTATAATTTTTGAAAAATCAAAGCAGAAATAATAGTTTTTGACATGTTTAAAAAAGCGTGATTTTAGGCTATTTTAAAAGGTTATTGTTTCCGATTGGATCGCTAATATTTATTACGATTTATATTTGCTAATTCACACCCAAACCACCCTAAAGTTACCTTTTGGTTTAAATATTTTTATAAACATCCTTTACATACTTTATTGTTTGGTTTGGTGCAACGTTATGCTAAAATCTACATTATATAATCAAATCTGTTAGTAGCCGAAGAGATTTCTGAACTTACGACCCTTAAATCTTTACTTTGATTTAAACAAATATTAAAAACATCTAATTACATCCTCTAACATGAGTAGACATGCGCTAATAAAAAGAATAAATAAAATAATCTTACCATTAGCTCTAAGTCTCGCTTCGTCCAAGACGGTCTGCTTTGTCTGCTTCACCACCAAAGTTTCGAAACGAGCGTCATCCACTAAAGACCGTCTTCTAGCAGGATATCCGTTCTGCAAAAGACATAATTCCTTTTAGATCTCAAAGTTCTAAAAGTAAACTCCATAAAAAGAAAGGAAATTGGCACATTATCAGTCAACCAAGTAGAAAAAAAATTAAAGGAAATAAGTAGATCAAAATTTTAAATAGGTGACATTGAATCCAAAAAGAACCATGATGAACCCATAAAATAATGTCTACTATAAATATATCGTAATCTTTTTCAATTTGTCTAATGTTTTCTTGTCGTGTACTTAACGTGACCTTTAAGAATTTAAAAAGTATTTTTTTAACGTACCATTTAAGCCTCCCGAAAATATTTATTTATCTGAATACCCTACAGGTCGTATTAATTAACAATGTCGTAAATTTGACACTTACGAAACAAAATTAGTTCACTTATAACGATTTTTTAATGATAGCCTTTAAATAATATTAACATTAAAACGATAGGTTAGTATTTTGATAAGATAATAGGGTAAAAAATAAGTATTGTACAAAGCATTCTAATCGCCACCCAATTATTGATTATCAAACAACTTATTTGTTACCAATCTCCCTTTCAAATATCCGGTATCTTAAGTAATTTAAAAATTTAAATCCGTGATTACCACAACACATGTATAAACAAACACCTCGAGTAATTTCTATTGGAAATTCATAGTAAAAACATGATAATTATTATTACATAATAATATCATCATCAAATTTACGCTAAAAATTCTTTTATTTAAGGTGAAATTCCATTTTATTAAAGTCTACTAAAAAATTTAAATGTTGTAACGTCTATATTGAACCGGCCTCTGAGTAATAATTTTCTTATTTAGCCATCACTGAAGGTTTGGAAGTGAAGCGGACCCAAAGCCTACAATACGTGAATGATATTTATTTAATCGTACTTATGATTAGCCAACGGGGTTATAAAGGCGGATGCTTAATATTAAATACTTCTCATTGCCAGTTACTGACAATGAGTAACAGTTCTCCCATTTAGCCGTATACGAACGGTTGAAACTGAATCGCTCCCAAAGCACACAATATGTTAATGATTTATTTATTTAATCGTATGATTGTAGTAAAGCGTCAAGTGTCAGATAAAAATATGTCTCAAAGTAACAATTTCAGTTGACCCTGATCGGTAAGTAGTAGATGTGGAGTATTAGGTCTCTTACAACCGTTTACATCTATCTAATAGCAAGGTTACGATACCATTTCAAATGCCCGAAGCAAAATGCGTTCCCTGGCCATGATACAGTGGCATTTTTTAATTTTAACGTAAGTAATTACGATAATTGGCTTTTGTCCAGAAATACTTCGCTGGTTTGAGAGGGGTTCGGTCCGTTTTTTTATAATATGTATTTTTTTGTCGTGCGAATGGGAAATGTTTCTATTGCAAAATTACTCGTTTATGCAGGTATGGAATTTCCACGTTCATGGAATTTTTATTTATTACTTTACAGTTCAAGCCCTTATACAATAACTGTACTGTCTTTATCGTAATTAATAATTACTTTTGCAATAACGCGAGTGCTAATTAGAAAATAACGTATTACTTGTTTGCAGTAGACAAATTATTTACATATGAAGGTACAATAAAAAAAAACGGTAACTTACATTCTAACAATAAATATTATCTATATAGTTTTATAGAATGTGACTTTTTTAGCAGTTTTGTGTGAATATAATTTTTGCACATTTTTGAAAAAAGCTTTAGGTTACCAATTACTTACATAACAAGGTTTACAAATTTCAATGTTATTAAGTCGGTAAAAATAATAATGTGTTTTTGAAATGATTTTATATGATTAAGGTAGAAAATTGATAACAGTGTCGAGGTATTGTTTTTACCCTTAAAACTTTAAAGCAATTGAATGAGACATTTTAGTACGTTAATGGTACAAGTATCTACTGTGATTCATATTAAAATATGGCTGAAAAAGTTTGTACGAATTTTCCTGTATATCGTTGATTTTTCAAAGGACTATGTCACTCTGATAATTGCATGAAATGAAATATGCCTATGCTGGATTCTCCAGAATATCTTGGTGTCGAAAACATATCGACCAGACTGAAATAGTTCTGTTTGTAACACAAATATTTTGAAAATAGTGAATACCTTGACCTAATACTGAGTACAGTTTTTTTTTTTGAAACGATTCTGCTATTTTTATTATTATTTTTACAGCATACTTGAGCAGTCGCTACAAAATTACTAATCAAAATAAGAAAGATTCTTTTAATTACGTAACATGTAGGGTATTGTTCTATATGAATATTGTCAGTTTATAGCACCTGCTCTTTCCTATATTAGTTTTGTATAAGTTTTACAGTAAAAATACAAAAATTTTACGAATAAAAAATAGTAAATTCTATTTTAAAAGCTTATTATTTAGAAAACATTTATTTCAAGCAAGTATTTGATTAAAAGAATAGCTGATATGAAAATACTTGAGATTTTTCTCGAATTAATTTCAACTATAGATATATAACGCTGGCAATATAATTATTTCGATATTTCAAATAACCATAAAGTAATCAAAAATAAAAAGCGAAATCAAACGCTTATGAAGTAATAACAGGAAATTTATGGTAGGCATGTACATAATAATAAAATATGATATATGGGTTTCTTATACACGTAGGTCATATATATGTATTAAAAGTAAGGGTAACATTAGATAGAGGCAATTTAGAATGACATGAACCTTGGCCTTGAATTGCACAATGCCAGAACTCCACCCATTCAATGGTTTCTACGTTTTTATCTCTTAAAAACATTTGCTATCGCTTTTTATAGTTACTTGGAGCTTTATCCCTACTTGTAGAGCAAAGTGCATGTATATGAACACGAAGGTTCATGTTATTTTAAACTACCTGTGGACTTCACATTGAGATTGATTAATAAATTGATTAAATAGCTTTATAATTTTTGAAAAATCAAAGCAGAAATAATAGTTTTTGACATGTTTAAAAAAGCGTGATTTTAGGCTATTTTAAAAGGTTATTGTTTCCGATTGGATCGCTAATATTTATTACGATTTATATTTGCTAATTCACACCCAAACCACCCTAAAGTTACCTTTTGGTTTAAATATTTTTATAAACATCCTTTACATACTTTATTGTTTGGTTTGGTGCAACGTTATGCTAAAATCTACATTATATAATCAAATCTGTTAGTAGCCGAAGAGATTTCTGAACTTACGACCCTTAAATCTTTACTTTGATTTAAACAAATATTAAAAACATCTAATTACATCCTCTAACATGAGTAGACATGCGCTAATAAAAAGAATAAATAAAATAATCTTACCATTAGCTCTAAGTCTCGCTTCGTCCAAGACGGTCTGCTTTGTCTGCTTCACCACCAAAGTTTCGAAACGAGCGTCATCCACTAAAGACCGTCTTCTAGCAGGATATCCGTTCTGCAAAAGACATAATTCCTTTTAGATCTCAAAGTTCTAAAAGTAAACTCCATAAAAAGAAAGGAAATTGGCACATTATCAGTCAACCAAGTAGAAAAAAAATTAAAGGAAATAAGTAGATCAAAATTTTAAATAGGTGACATTGAATCCAAAAAGAACCATGATGAACCCATAAAATAATGTCTACTATAAACACGTAAATGTTCATGGTGAGAATGAAACGGAAGGTCAACTATGTCTGGTGTCTGTCAAGCATGCGAACTTCTACAAGTTCACTACTATTCGATTTCANTTTATGGACTTCAAGTATGATACAGAAAATGCTTATGGACGCAGTTAAGGGTTGTAATAAAACGTTTAGATTATTAGACAATAAAATGAAACAAATAACGCATGGTCAAATTCCTAATGTGGCAATAATCCAAAATGTTCTAAATTTAAGACATTCGGTGCCTATGGATAATGACAAACAGAAAAATGTTGATCATTGTTAGGTCCAACTACAGCTGATCATTGAATCAAATTCATGGTCAACTAACTCAGTTTACGTTTTACGTTTTTTTTTTTAAGCATCTTCAATATCGTTTTGGTTAAATTATATAATTTTTTCCACAGTCAAGGACTTTCTTAAACTTATTATCAATGGGTAATGAATAAAGTGTTAAGACTGGATGAAATTCTTTAATTAATTTATCAATTGAATACATGTAGATATGTATATCAGATTTTGATTATTGCAATTACCAATTTGGCCTAAACCATTTCTGATCTATACAAACGTCTCTTTTACAGATGCTTCAAGTTTATGGTGGGGACTCTATCTTATAGATTTGGTAAGTAATTTTATTTGAGTGGTTACTTTTCCTTTCTACTTAATTGTAGTTGTAATTAATCATATAGTATACTACCTAAATCCCGAAATCATTTAAGTTTCTTCTAAGTTCAAAAATCCAAACTAAAATCTTTCGATTTAAAATTTAACTGTCTTAGAATCTGTCGATAAAAAACTGATTTATATGATTAAGTTAACCCAAGTGTTAAGAGATACAGTCTTTAAATTAATAAAGCACGAGACAGAAGGTCTACTCAGCCGTTTGTTTTACATTTAGTTCACATTAAGCTGAACAGGTTTCCATTATTGAACGTTTTGTATAAGTATAAAATTGTGCCGATGATACAGTCGAAGATTTGCAATCGAATCACGCAGATAAATAAATCTTTTAAAGATCACAGAACCGGCGGCGGAGAGTGCTAGGCTACGTGAGGCATGAAACATTTTCAATCGAACAAAAAATGAGAAAAATCATTGGTATCGACCGCTTTTGTTGTTGTCGCTGTCAAAGATCAAGTGTGCGGCGTGTATGTCACGAACGATTTGCGCAAACTTGCAATTTCGTTTGTGAACGTATGGCATAAACATTTATGAGCTTGAATTAACGACCGTGAAGGCCGATTCGTTCTTGTATCACTTACCGCGTTTTATTTTGTTATTAATTCTCCTAATTATGTAACCGATCATATTGTTCGTACTGTTCACCAAATGTCGGTGATTATTGGGGCTACTCACCTTTACTGAAATAACCACATCATTAATCCCAAATCTTTATTTCGTTTGATGTACCTGCACCTGCTTGGTGCATGTTTAAGATTTTTTTTACTTCGTATCCTATCATTTAGTGAAATTTTTCTACTACATCACTAATTATTTACCAAATCATTTTTGTAATGGTTCATAACAAAAGTAGCTATAGTTACAAATTTCATCTTTCCATGACAACTTTTATAAAAAAAATTAATCAAATTTTTTTATATCTTAAACATTATATAAAATGGTCTTAATCTCGTAGATTTCTTTTCGATTTTTGTTCCTATTCCACCCTTTTGTAGGTGGTCATATAGTCTATAATCCTTCTAAAGCAGGAACATCCTAACAAAGGAAGAATAATATGGTTCTGTAGTTATATCGAAGAAACAATTTTTCACTTTTATATTACAACAAATCAAAATCCGTCTATGCGTTACTATTCCTACAACTGAAATGTTTTTTTAATAGCGTTCCTAAAATCCCATACAACTAACAATAACTAGAAACACTAACTAACTTTTACACTACGTTAGTTTAACGTGGTTCTTAGTCTACCTTGTTTTAATATTTTTCAAATAATTGTCTTTGGTTGCGTTTGCTGACGTGGGATTTACCAAAAACGGTTATTAGATACTATAATGTAATTGTACTACATGGATACCTAATTTAAATACAATTAAGGAATTAAACACTTGTATTTCCTAATTGACAACACTAATGATTGTCAAAAAAAATAAAAAACAACTATCTCGCCGCGTCCCGTCGCATCGCATCGCGCTGAACTTGATATAGGATAGAACACATTAATAGTTCGTCGATGTAAAATGGTAAAAGGAAACAAAACGCGGCAATATACCTGTTATTCTTAGTTTATGTTCATATAAGTAATTAACAACTCATTGTCATACTATTACACCAGCTATTACAATCGATATTTACTGTGAGTATATGAATTGAAGGCCTCATACAATATTATTGTAATATACATGTATGTACAATGTAGGACAACACTTATAAACCATTTTCTATTTTTTTAAATGTTTATGTTTTATACACTTAGAAGAAATACCTACTAAAATTTTGTTACTTATATAATAATGGTTATTGTTGAAACATATGAAGCTACTGAACCAATACAAAAAAGCTGGTGAAAAATTCCAAAATATGTATTCTTCTTGCCACATTATTTATTAATAAAAGAGAAAATTGCTCAATTTTTGGAAAATAAACTAAATTCAATCAGAATTTCTAATATTAATAAAACTAACTAAAAGCTTCACTTGAAAATGGAAATTTATTGGTTACAAAGAGAATTTACCTCCACCTTTAAATGAAGTAAGTTACTTAAAGCGAAACTGTAGAAACTAAACATAGGCTAATTCATATGAGAAAATGGAAAAATTGTTACATTTTCTTCTAATAAAACGTATTTTAGTTACAAGTTTGTGATAATATAAAAATTTAAATACTTTCACTTGGTTAAATGATAAAAGTTTGTTAAAACAATAAAATGACCGACAACCCTTACATTTAACGCTACTTATGTTGACCCTTTTGTTTCTTAATTAAACAACTAATAATTCATAAAAGAGCACGCCTTTCCAATATATGATATAAACAATTTTCGTAAATAAAAAGAAAATAGATAAACAAATAATCTTACCTCGACGCTATAAGATTTTTTGATAGCGAACATTTCGCGATTCTTCTGTGCTGCAGCAACGGCGGCCATCTCAACAATTGAAGTTGTAATAGTTAATTCGAAACACTTGGACGACAAATAGCAACTATCTCAATACCAGCCTGAAACACGTATTGTTTCACTGCTGATAACGCGCCGTCTTCAGGAGAAGTTCGACCCGGACAAATGCCAGACAACCAGACCGTTTGTTGTTAATAAATTTGGTAATTGGTACGTTTTACCAATGGGTGTTGGTGTCCATGGGGTTTCGCTTTATGTAGTTGAACCCCTTCTCCGTTCATCCCCCCACGCAACTGTCATGGCACACCGCGACAGCCCTTTCATTGTTGCGAAAACATATAGAAATGTACGCGTGCGTCATCTGGGGGCCTGCTAACACTGGAATCCCCAAGACCTCGAGGCTCCGTACTCCGGAGGTTATCCGAAGCACGCGGCTACCGTGGCTATTGCGATCCCATACACGACCATAATACCGTAACGTTTAACAACAATATTATTATCATTTCAGAAACTTTCATCTTTCCATGACAACTTTTATAAAAAAAATTAATCAAATTTTTTTATATCTTAAACATTATATAAAATGGTCTTAATCTCGTAGATTTCTTTTCGATTTTTGTTCCTATTCCACCCTTTTGTAGGTGGTCATATAGTCTATAATCCTTCTAAAGCAGGAACATCCTAACAAAGGAAGAATAATATGGTTCTGTAGTTATATCGAAGAAACAATTTTTCACTTTTATATTACAACAAATCAAAATCCGTCTATGCGTTACTATTCCTACAACTGAAATGTTTTTTTAATAGCGTTCCTAAAATCCCATACAACTAACAATAACTAGAAACACTAACTAACTTTTACACTACGTTAGTTTAACGTGGTTCTTAGTCTACCTTGTTTTAATATTTTTCAAATAATTGTCTTTGGTTGCGTTTGCTGACGTGGGATTTACCAAAAACGGTTATTAGATACTATAATGTAATTGTACTACATGGATACCTAATTTAAATACAATTAAGGAATTAAACACTTGTATTTCCTAATTGACAACACTAATGATTGTCAAAAAAAATAAAAAACAACTATCTCGCCGCGTCCCGTCGCATCGCATCGCGCTGAACTTGATATAGGATAGAACACATTAATAGTTCGTCGATGTAAAATGGTAAAAGGAAACAAAACGCGGCAATATACCTGTTATTCTTAGTTTATGTTCATATAAGTAATTAACAACTCATTGTCATACTATTACACCAGCTATTACAATCGATATTTACTGTGAGTATATGAATTGAAGGCCTCATACAATATTATTGTAATATACATGTATGTACAATGTAGGACAACACTTATAAACCATTTTCTATTTTTTTAAATGTTTATGTTTTATACACTTAGAAGAAATACCTACTAAAATTTTGTTACTTATATAATAATGGTTATTGTTGAAACATATGAAGCTACTGAACCAATACAAAAAAGCTGGTGAAAAATTCCAAAATATGTAGTCTCTCATTCAGAGACNAAAACAACTGTCATTATTATTAGAAATTAAAAGAATATCAAGGGAATAAATTATGGAGATATTTATTTAAAAAAGTCATTTTTCTTAGAAACATAAGCTCAAAGTTACTTTCTAGGTAAATGATACTGATAGACATAGCATATGAGATAAAAGTTTTATTTTACGGAATAAAATTTTATAGCAAAATGAGAAAATAACCGCGAAAACAGGAAGGTAAATTATAATTTGTATTCATTTTTTTATTTTATAATCGCCCGACAACTTCCTAAGCATTTTGTTGATTGAAAATGAAATATTTAAATGTGATATAAATATGTATATAAAATTTGATTTATATTATGATCCTTAAGGATCCTCAATTTATTGATGAATTAACAATAATTATAATAATAGGTTATTATAACAACTAGCTCCAGTTTTAACTTTCAATCAAATAATTTGGAAAATCTTATAAGCATCACAATTAAAGAGGGAAAATTGATTTAAGAAAGCGAATGAAACTGGGAAATGCTTCTAATCTGATATTTTACATCATCTAGAATACTATGGTAATGACCGGTCAATTAAAACTGACCTTCTTATCAAGCAAAATACTATAAATTTCTCTATAAAAAGAAAAACCACTACTACGTTTTTCTCCTAAGGATAATCTTCCATTTCCAATCTTGCTATTACAGAAATACATTTTCGTCGTCATCTTAAGGTCGTCAGTCCTAAGACTGGTTGGACACGCACCTCAACTCTTTTCTATCTTGAGCTAATCTTCACATTTCCTTAAAACTGGGACATCCCACATCATTAAGTATTTGTAAACAGTACGTTTACTCCTTTTAGTTCCTGCTTTTGCATCTAATATGTCTCTGACTAAACCTTCATGCCTGAGAAGGTGCCCCACCAACCTATCTCGCTCTATTTCTTATTGACTTCCACAGTGACCTCTGTTCTCCTACTCTTTCTAATATCTCCTCATTTCTACCCTTCTTTGCCTCATTTCGAACGATTCTTGCCTCTTCCTTGTGCCTAGGCCACCATTTACGTTTCGCACCCGTACAGTGTCGTGCTCCAGACATAAACTTTTAACAATCCTAAGATTGTTTTTGATTTTCCTAGATTATAAATTTGAAAAACCTGCCAACACTTCATCTTCGACGTAATGGTACATTGGGCATATTCAAGACTGGGCTAAAATCAATTAAATTTGGATTTTTCTGAAATTATCACAGAAATTGGGTTTGCTAATAAATTCGAATGTTTAACAGTGACTTCTCCGCGACCAAATGACCAACTCGGTTCTCCGCAGGACTAATTAACTAATTATGCAGTCGGGTACTCGTTTGCTTGAGTCTCTGGTGTACTAATAAGTGACTGCTGATGCTATTTATGATTTATCTTATCATCAATATTTTGAAACATTAAATCAAAATGAATATAAATAAGTATGTCCTTAATACAATTTAAAGTCCATTTAAAATCGTCAACACCAAATGTTTCAAAATTGAAGCTTCAATAACCCACGTTTTCCATTTACAATACACAAGTAAATAACACGTGATAAGTGATTAGAAATGGACCCGACAAATTGTATAGATTTGTACCTACTCTATATGTGTTAATTATAATCTGTTACAACATTAATATGCAATAACCTGCGAAAACGGTAATTTGGTTTGGGTATCACGTTCTTTCTACGCATCTATTGTTAATGATCACTAGTTCTTTAACGCATTAACAATACACTTTGTTAAACACTAAAAATTAGATAAATAATGTAATTTATTCTACAACTTTTTAAGATCCTTCAACGTAATCTTTAAGGGACTGCGAGCGAAATTTCCTTTACGACGGAATAAGAATAAATTTTTTACTAATCGGTAGCTAAAACCTTTTCATTTACAACGGTGATAAGAAGCAAGGCTTCTAAAGGAGCTAAAATTTAAATTATCCAGTTTTTAAACAGGAACATTTAACACGTATCCTTATTGAGATTTAGCTGTTACCATTTTTAGTAATAAATTTTCATGGAAAGCATTTTTTCATAATTTGAAAAATTAACTTTTCAACAGTATTCGTATATAGACAATTTTTGTGTTTTATACAGATTTTCTATAACAGAAACAAAAAGATTTGAAGTTGAATATCGACACATACCTGAATTGTCAATTCAATTAATTACGAAATTTTATTTTGAAATTAACGAAATCCCAATTTATTCGTTGTTTCTAGTTGACGCATGATCGACTGTATTGATCAAACTAAAGTATTTAATCATCATCCTGAGATAATTTACGCATTTCTCTAAAACTAAAACAGCCCACATCCCTAACTATTTGCGAACAGTAACCTACTATAGGTCTACCTGTACTCCTGTTTGTGCCTCTAACATGTCTTTGACAGGCCCTTCATGCTTGGGAAGATGTTTTACCAACCTATCTCACCTATTTCTTATAGACTTCCATAGAGTCCTTTGTTCTCCTATTCTTTCTAATACCTCTTCATTTCTAACCTTTTCTACCCACGTTATCCTCAACATTTGCCTACAACACCACACTTCGAAGGCTTCTGACCTTTTCTTTTCCGCAGCACCCACCGTTTACGCTTCGCACCCGCACAGAGCTGTGCTCCAAACATATTCCTTTAACAGTATGTTTCGAATTTCTATAGGGTTGTTCGGAAAGTCATTTCGTTTTTTCCTGACAGAGGATTTAATTGTATTCTTTTGCACCCAACTTCACATTTAAGCCGTATAACTTTTATATGCTTTGAGAGCTCATATAGCAAGGCTTGTGTGTGAAAAATTCCAATTAATTCTACGCAGTAGTTTTTGGTTGGTGCCCTTTTAAATATGGAGAGCGATAAGCAGCATTTTCGGCATATCTTACTGTTTTATTACAGAAAGGGTAAAAATGCTGTTCAAGCCAGAAAGAAATTGACTGATGTGTATGGAGAAGGTGTGTTGACAGTACGCCAGTGCCAGAACTGGTTCGCTAAATTTCGATCCGGCAATTTTGATGTCGAAGATGCACCACGTTCGGGAAGGCCGGTTGAAGCTGATAAAGACGCGATAAAGGCATTAGTTGATGTGAACCGGCGAATAACAACACGTGAGATCGGATTGAGGTTAAATTTATCAAATTCAACAGTTTATGACCACTTGAAAGGCCTGGGATTATCCTCGAAGCTCGATGTATGGGTTCCCCATGTTCTCACAGAGAGAAATCTGTGTCGCCGCATTGACGTCTGCGATTCGCTTCTCAAACGTCACGAAAATGATCCGTTTTTGAAGCGCATCATCACTGGGGACGAAAAATGGGTTGTATACAACAACGTCAAACGCAAGAGGTCATGGAGCAAAAAAGATGAACCGGCTCAAACCATTTCCAAAGCCGATATTCACCAAAAAAAGGTGATGCTGTCTGTTTGGTGGGATTTTAAAGGAATCGTTTTTTTTGAGCTTTTACCGGATAACACAACGATTAATTCGGAAGTCTACTGTCATCAGCTGGACAAACTGAATGATGCACTTCAACAGAAAAGGTCAGAACTAATCAACAGGAAAGGTGTAGTGTTTCACCAAGACAACGCGAGACCTCACACAAGTTTGGTCACTCGCCAAAAGCTTTTACAGCTTGAATGGGATACAATGCTACACCCACCATATTCTCCAGACCTGGCACCATCGGATTATTATTTGTTCCGGTCACTCCAAAATTTTTTAGACGGTA